GGATCTCTGTGAGTTCGAGGCCAGCCTGGGCTACCAAGTGAGTTCCAGGAACGGCACAAAGCTACACAGAGAAACCCTGTCTCGAAAAACCAAAAAAAAAAAAAAAAGAGTTAGCTTGTTGCTATTCAAAGCTGCAACAAGCATGTTGAATACATCCACCCATGAATGTGGGGCCAGCAGCAAGAAATATTCTAAGAATGTTAGTGCAGATTTAGAGTACACATACAAACAACACACTCCATCCACAGATGATTCCCTAACCACCTGCCAGCAAATCCTTGCAGGGCTGTCTTCCAGCAGCATAAAGAGCCACACCAGCCACTGTACCATAGTCTGATTTCTGTCACTAGATAAAACAGTGTCTGTTTTAACAAGCCTTCAGCAACAGTGACTGTATTTGTTCCTGTGTTCTGTTATTTGCCAATGTTCCTAACATATTGCTGGCCACACTAATTTGCAAAAACTCCTAAATGTTATAGAAGGCTGCTCCTTGTGAAATGTTACTTTTGAAAAAATTTTACTGTTCCAGATGAGGTTAGTGATCTTTATTTTCATTTTACTTTCAAGTTTCTCTTGGAAAAGCCCTATTCTCTTCACTGAAAGCCAAGGGGTGGACTGCGATACATGAAAAACAAACAAAAACATTCATAAGCTCTTTCAAGCTGGCATTCCATTAGCAGCACCCAAAACCTTTCACTTTTCTCATAAGCCTGAGCTGGTAGATGCGAGAGTAATTCAGCCTGCAGACAGGTAGGTAGAGGCATCATCCTGTTTGTGTCTGTGTTAAGTCAGGCTCCTTAAAAATGCCTGCTAGGCAAAGAAAATGTCTAGAGTCCAAGCAGTTCTCAGAAGAAATAAGACCAGGCCTCTACACTGAGGTACCTGCAATCTGCTCTAAGCAAAAGACAGGTACTAAAATAGCTCCAGACCCCAGGAGCAAGGAGTGCAGAAGGATGTGAGCAGACAACAAGGCTCTAAGTCAGCACTCAGCTTGGTGCTATGTTTTCTCAACCTGCCAGTCATCACCTTGTCAAATTCAAGGCCACCTTGGAGAGGCAACTTAGGACCTACGTGCAATGCCTTGGTGATTCTTGCACACCCACACCACTGTTTTTCTAGGCCTTGGGCCTGTGCTCCGTGACAAAGCTAGACAAGCCCTACAGGTGACCAGGGGAAGAACTCTTGGGTGGCTCCATACACAACCAACACAGCCCCAGCCAGTCTGGACTGTGATGTGGGCAGGAAAGGCCATAAACAAGCCCATGTACCTTCAGGCTTACATCCAGCAACATGTGCAAGTAACACTGTACTTGAGTTTTTGCAAATATACACAGCCGAAGAATGGCAAAAATGCCTCTCCATTAACTGCCTGTTCATTTTGCAAGTTCAGTTAAGAAATGTAGTGGGCTATGGTACTGCATGATTATAAGAGCTTAATAAAGAAATTGTTAAACACAGTAGCTATGTCACAAAGGTGTCTGAGCTTCTCAGGCTGAGATTAACAATCATTCAGACCAGAGATCAGGACCATCCTGAGGGTGCTGAATGGTGCAGAACTCTGTGTAGTTCAGAGCACTTTCTACCTTGTTTCAGGAAATGCTGTGAAGATCACAACTTCAGCATCCTCAGCAGGGCTGACAAAGCTATGGAAACTTCACACCCACTGAGGCAAGAGGCTGCAGTATATGTGGTATGCTCTATGTTGTCTGGGTTATGCTGCTTGGGTTTACTGCATGATGATTTTACATGCTACCTGACTCAGCTCTCCTCTCCCATTAGCTTGGGCCACTAAGTATCAGTACCAGGGCAGCTCACCTGGACTAGTTCTAGCCTCAGGACTGGAAAGGAATGTTAACACACATCTTGGTACATTTCAGTGGCACAAAGATGCATCATGAAACACACACACACACACACACACACACACACATCCTTTTACACCAAAAAGAAAGAAAGGAACACAAAAAACACAACTCAAGGACCAACCAGAAAACCTAGACAGTGGCCTTAGCTGAGAAGACTAAGCTATACGGAAAACCTGGTCTCAAGGATTTCTGGTTATGCTTACCTATCCATCAATCAATTAAACATCACCATATGCTGAAATCATTTGTTCATGTAGAAAACGAGAAGCTTGGAACTTTATATGCTACAGTCCTGATTCATATCAGAAATGGCAGACTGAGGGTGGGAGCCAGTCTCGGAACTTCAGAAGCGCCTGAAGTTAATCTGGTCTAGACTCCGTTCATTAGGGTTCATTGCAGAGCTGATGTGAAAAGGAATTCTGTCCCCAAGCTCAGGGATCTGCCTATAACTTACATCCAAGGCCAGGATGTTTGCAATTTCATGAACTACCAAAAAACAAAACAAAACAAAACAAAACCAGCCCATACTATTGGGCTCCCTGGCATCCTCAAATGCTTTGGAGGGGCAGGGGGTAAAGAAACAAGGAGCCAAACATCCCAGGAAGAACAAACAGCACACATAAAGGTCCTGAGACAAGAAGGAAATGTGATACACTCAAGGATAAAAATGGATAAAGAATGCCTAAGATGCAGACACAGTAGACATGGCGTGTTAAGACAAGCTATGAGGAAAAAGAAAAAAAGGCACACCAAAATATGACCCAAAGCTATGGGAAGCCATTAAACAGCTGACCATCAAATTTTACACTCAAGAAAAATAAAGGTGGGACAAGAATGGAGAAGATATTGGAAGTTGGCCAGAGCCAAGAAGGACAGACTTGAAGCTGTGAAAGATAGGTACACTGGGAACCTACAGCTCTGAAGAGAAAAGTACCCTGATTGTTGGAAGCCAGGCTATATGTGCAGCTGTGAAGGGAAGGAACTTTGGATTCCTAAAGCTGTGAGGAGGAAGGAATACTGACTATTGGGAGGTCAGGCCATACCTGTGTTCCAGTGTGGGATGGTCCCCCTTCAGGATGTGGCAACCCTGCTCCACTCTGTTATGAGAGCTTCCCAGCAGAGATATCCATTTCTTCCCAGCTCCAGACCAAGTTGGTAATTCTCTACTTCACTCTACTAAGGGGGAACCCCTTGCAGAAATGAGGCAGTCTGCTCCCGCTCTGGTGACAAGTTGCTACTTCTGCCCCAATCCCATAATGGAGATTCCCAGCAGAAGTGTCCATTGCTTCTCGGCTCCACTACAATAAGGAGTTCCTGGAAGAGATTCTGCTCAGCTCTGGTAAAAGAAGTCTTCACCCAAAACTCATTCAAGAGATTTATCTGGGAGTGAAAAATCCAGGAGAGTGGATACCTCTGTCAGAGAGGAGAAGAGCAGCTACAAACTGAACAGGCAGAGGGGCTTACACGGGACTTCCTAGGGGCTTAGTTTTTCCTAGGATAAGGTTTTCAGGGTGGGGATTGGTCGATTTTCAATCCCTGAGCTTGAATTAGCTCAGAGATTGGCCAGATTTCATGTTAGTGATTGGTTGGTTTGTGCTCAAGGACTGGTTGGTTTTCCTGATCAGGAATTCATTGGTTTCATGCTCAGTTGTTCAGGGCTAGAGTGCGTTCTTTTGGCTCTGATGTCAGGGCCAAAGTGTGTGTCTTTCACTGGCTCTGGTTTCAGGATCAGGGTGCATTTCTTTGGCTGGCTTTTTACCGTACATGTAGGGCTTCATAAAGTGATAAATTTATTTTTTCCATGAGTTTGCAGGGGAAAACAACATAAAAATAGACAAAATAAAAATTGAGCAGGTTGTTGATACTGCCAATTTTTTTCTACAGAATAAATACCTCTGTGTAACTGAATGCAAGTGTGTTGGATAAAGACATTACCAAATACTTTATAATAATAATCCCTCAGTATTTTTTTTACAGGTACTCAAAGACTATTTTAATATGTAAAGGCTTTAACAGATAGATTGTACACAAAAAGTTTTATTCCTGTATAAAATACAAAACTTTATCACAATGACTATTTTTAGGGTTTCTCTGCAGTATGAATTTTCCCATGATTTCGAAGACTACGGCTGCGTTTAAAGGCTTTCCCACACTGATTACACTCATAGGGTTTCTCTCCAGTATGTGTTCTTTTATGCATTTGAAGATTACCATGTTGTGTAAAAGTTTTACCACATTGATCACATTCATAGGGTTTCTCTCCAGTATGTGTTCTTTCATGCATTTGAAGGGCACTGTGAAGTGCAAAAGCTTTACCACATTGTTTACAATCATAGGGTTTCTCTCCTGTATGTGTTCTTTTATGTATTTGAAGATTACCATGATGTAAAAAGGCTTTACCACAATGATGACATTCATAGGGTTTCTCTCCAGTATGTGTTCTTTTATGCAAGTGAAGATGACTCTGACGTGCAAAGGCTTTACCACATTGATTACATTCATAAGGTTTCTCTCCAGTATGTATTCTTGTATGCATTTGAAGAGCACTATGATGAGCAAAGGCTTTACCACATTGATTACATTCATAGGGTTTCTCTCCAGTATGAATTCTTTCATGCCTTTGAAAAGCACTTTGAAAAGCAAAGGCTTTACCACAATGATTACATACATAAGGTTTCTCTCCAGTATGTGTTCTTTTATGCATTTGAAGACTACCATATTGGGCATAGGCTTTACCACACTGATCACATTCATAGGGTTTCTCTCCAGTATGTGTTCTTTTATGTATTCGGAGAATACTGCGATGTGCAAAAGCTTTATCACATTGGTCACATACATAGGGTTTCTCTCCAGTATGAGTTGTTTTATGAGTTTGGAGATTACTGTGATGTACAAAGGCTTTACCACATTGATTACACTCATAGGGTTTCTCTCCAGTATGTGTTCTTTTATGCATTTGAAGATTACTGTAACTTGCAAAGGCTTTATCACATTGGTCACATTCATAAGGTTTCTCTCCAGTATGTGTTCTTGTATGCATTTGAAGAGCATTGTGATGAGCAAAGGCTTTACCACATCGATTACATTCATAGGGTTTCTCTCCAGTATGTGTTCTTTTATGTATTTGGAGAATACTTTGATGAGCAAAGGTTTTACCACATTGGTCACATTCATAGGGTTTCTCTCCAGTATGTGTTCTTTTATGCATTTGGAGATTGCTTTGATGTACAAAGGCTTTGCCACAATGATTACATTCATACGGTTTCTCTCCAGTATGTGTTCTTTTATGCATTTGAAGATTACTATGACGTACAAAGGCTTTACCACATTGATTACACTCATAGGGCTTTTCTCCAGTATGTGTTCTTTTATGAATTTGAAGATGACTGTCATATGTAAAGGCTTTACCACATTGATTACATTCATAGGGTTTCTCTCCAGTATGCATTCTTGTGTGCATTTGAAGATTACTGTGACTTGCGTAGGCTTTACCACATTGATTACATTCATAGGGTTTCTCTCCAGTATGCGTTCTTTTATGCCTTTGAAGAGCACTGTCATAAGCAAATGCTTTACCACATTGATTACATTCATAGGGTTTCTCTCCAGTACGTGTTCTTTCATGTCTTTGAAGATGACTGTCATATGCAAAGGCTTTAACACATTGAGTATATACAGAAGGTTTCTCTGCGTTATGGCTTCTTTCATGTCTGCAACAATAATTGGCACATATAAAAGCTTTACCACATTCAATACAATGTTGACTCATTGCATCTAAATTAATTTTACAATTTGGTCGAATTGTAAAGAGGAATCAGATCATAAGGTTTTATCACTGTGTTAACATTCATGTTGTTCCCCTTCATTAAGATTTTTTTTTAATGTTTGAAGATACCTGTGATTGTAAGATCCTTTATTATGGAGTTCACATTTACAGAATCTTTTTCTATATGAGATTTTTCACACATCTGAAGAGAACTGGAAAAACTCAGAGCTTTACTACCCTACTGTATTTATAAATTTTACTATATTGTGGGTCATACTATATTTACTAAGTTAACTAGGACAAACATAAGTCTTTACACAATCCTAGTATGCATAGGGCTTTCTGCAGTGTGAGTTTGTTGATGTACTAACAATGAAGCTGGAAAACCAATTACTTGTATACTTGAATCAAATTCGACAAGTATACTCAACATGGGGACTGCACCATATCTTCTAATTGTGTTGATAGAGAGGTATGTTACATCTTACTATATCCCTATGCTCATAAAGCTTGTATCCAGAGTGACATATGATATACCTAGTAAAGAAAGAATAAAAACTAAAAGGTTTCCACATTGAATTCTCAGTTTGACTTTCTGTTTCTCATAGACATGTGGTATAATGATTAAGGTTCCTCCACAACAACTACCCCTTGACTCTTCACTGTAACTGCCCTTCTCACAGTCACTTATCACAGTCACAATAAGGATATGAGTAGCACTAGCTTTACTATGGACCATTTGTTTATTAGAAGGTTGGAGGATATACTTATCACCTCTTCAATCTGCATACCTTTTGTATTATGAGTGCTATAAAACTAAATAGATTGACAGTTCTGCAGCATAGCTCTCATGCAGTTATGATTCAAATAGTGATATTAAGGCATTGTTTCCTTGTCTTCTTTCCTAAAAGAATGCCTTGCAAATGCAATTCACCTACCTGAAATTGAGGTATATAGTTTTGTGAGAATTTAATAATCATCAATGCACATTAAGCTGTGCTTATTTACACTGTTGCTTTTGTTTAAAACTTCCAGGACACATTACAATTTCTTCAGAGGCACATTTTGTCTTAGCTTGCAGGTGATAATTACCTTTCATGTCTTCTAGAACTTTGACAATGTTCTTCAATATTATGGTCTTCCCAACTGTATCCTAAAATATAGAACCAGAAAATGTATGGTATGTTATTGAAAACTGCAAAATTTAAGTTACTATCATCAGTGAACCTTAGAACCATGCCTGATTTATTCACCTCACTTTTCTTTCTCAATCAAATTTGTCTCCTTACTTGAAAACTTGAAGAAAATTCCCTCTTACCTATAGTAGTGAGGTTCCTGTAGGTCTCCAGCATCACATCTTTGTAGAGATTCTTCTGGGAACGATCCAGCAAAGTCCATTCTTCCCAAGTGAAGCCAACATGCACATCATCATAGGTCACTGCATTCTAAAATATCCGATACATGTGTATAACAGAAAGCATGACACTGACAACAATGTAAATATACATTTCTTTGACAGTATGGTCATATAACTCTGGTGCTCCCCACACTAATTCCATGACATAGATACTATAATGTAATCAGCAAGTCACTTTAAAAGGAAACTGAATAGGAGGTTCACCTCTGTCATTTTTGTACCCTGGAAATGGGATATCACCTTGCAAGAGAAATGCCATTAAAAAACATACAGAAACAAGTAAAGAGATCAACAGTATAGAGTACACATGAAAAAAAAATTGTATGAACAATTACTAAATAAAAAAAATAAGATGGACATGCACTTAGAAGTCAAAGGCAGGTATATCTGCCTTAGAGTTGAATGCCAGCCTAGTCTATGCAGTCAGTTTCAGAACATCCAGAAGTACATATTAAGACCTTGTCTCTCATTCAAAAAAATCAAACAAACAAAAGAGATAGAAAGAACTCAGACATTTTAGTGACATTTCTGCAAAAAGTTATGTATTCACTCCAGTTCTATATTCATCTTCCAGAAAACTGAAATGTCCCAATTTAAAGTGTAACATCAATAATATTTTACTAAAAGGAACTGCATGTTGAACAGTTACAAATGGACAGATTTTAAAAACATTAGCAATATAAATGTTGATCAAATCAACATAGGGCAGAAGAGTTGGCTCAATAGTAAAGAGCTCTTGCTGGCTGGTCTTGCATCTAGGTGGGGTCAATTGCCAGTACTTACTCAGGGGATCACAACTATCCATATTCCAAGTTCCAGGTTTCTGAGACCATCTTTTAATTACTGTGAGGACCAGGTCCCCATGTGGTTCATATCCATGCATACGGGTAAAATACTCAATTTCATTAAAAAAAGAGAGAAAGAAAGAAAGAAAGAAAGAAAGAAAGAAAGAAAGAAAGAAAGAAAGAAACACACAACAGGCAGGAAGAAGATGATACACCTGCAATCCAATAACTCAGAAGGCTCAGGCAGTATTAATGTCATGAATACATGACATCCTGGAAAACAGAATGACACTATCTGCCAAATTTTAAAATTCAAGATATGAGTGAAGCTCAGTACAACAGCATATGCTTGCCATGGGAAAAAAATTTACATTCCAGGCCCATCACAGAATAATACAAAAACAAAAAAACAGGAATGTTGGCCCACCTTTAATCCCAGCACTTGGGAGTCAGAGTCAAGGGGATCTCTGAGTCTGAGGCCAGTCTGGTCTACAGAGCTACTTTCAGGATCGCCCAGGCTACAGAGACAATCCTTGTCTTCAAAAACAAACAAACAAATTAAAAAAAAAATCAGACTAGCAAACTGGTTTAGCACTGAATAGCAATTGCCATAGCAATTCTAAATTATGTGATTTAGGGAAGGAGTCTATAATGGTGGTGAAGGCAGAAGAAGGAAGCTGGGTGATTAGTTTCAACCACTGCACAGTAGACACAAAGACCAGGAAATGGGCTGAGGGCTTGGAGACTCATATCACATCCACAATGATGAATGTCATTCAGAAAGTGTTCTCCTACTAAAGGTTTCACCAGCAATCAAAATAAAGTCACCAAAGAGAGACACATGTTCAAATACATCATATTTTCTGGGAGGTTTTACATTCAATCAACTACATTCAGACCCAGGTCACTATAGGATAATGCTTATCCATGAAGAAAAAGCATTTAGTCACGTCAATAATCCTCACAGTCTGCAACAATCCCTACTTGGTGACATTTTGTTTGTGCTCTAACAAATAAAGCTTGCCTCGAGATCAGAGGGCAAAGCTAGCCACTAGTTAACCATAGACTCCAGGCAGTGGTGGCATACACCTTTAATCCCAATAATTGGGAGGAGGAAGCAGGAAGATCAGTCTAAAAGAGAAACAGACCCAGGTAGTGGAGGTTCACACCTTTGATCTCAGCACTTAGGATCTCTTGCCTTTGATCCCAGTACTTGAGAGGCATGGGCCTTTAATCCCAACGCTAGGGAGGTGAAGACCGGAAGTGATATGGCTGGGCAGAAAGAGGAATATAAGGTGGGAAGAGATAGGAGCTCAGCCCGCTTTCAGACTGAAGAGTTGCTGAGGTGAGACGTGGCTGTGGCTTGCTCCTTTTCCCCTCTGATCTGTCAGCATTTACCCCTATATCTGACTCTGGGTTTTTATTATTAAGACCAATGAGAATTTGAGCTACACGTGACACCCAGTGTGGGGCACAAATGCAGGAAAAAGCTGCCTCCTTGTGGCTTTGCAGCCACAGGCACAGGCTGGAGCTACATGTACCTGGAGTCACTAACCCCAGGCTAAGGTTTTTCTTTCTTTTCCACAAGCTTGTGAGTGAGTTGGAATTTTTCTGTTGTAGCGTATTTGCAACAAACTCCACAGGCTTTTGGGCTCCAAAAACTGCAGGAGTTAGCCACATTCGCACATTCCCCATGCAGACAGCTGGATCTTCAGCTTCCCTCTCCCAGTAGATTGTGGTCACCAAGCTGCCGCCACACTAGGTAGCTGCCTTGAAAACTGCTTGGGCTTCTATTGTACTACACAGAGCAGTCAGCCTCATATCTTCACTGTCATCACTGGCAGATTTGGTGAGACAATTGGGAATTCTTAAAGGAAGGAATTAGTTAAGAGTTTTTGCCCCACATTAAAAACTGGGAAACTCTATTACAATGGAGGGCGTTAGGTCTCTGTATAATACTTGACAGTTTCAAAATGGAGCAATTAAATGAGAGGATAATTAATTTAGATGGGATTTATGTAATGCCAATTATAAATATCTGTTTTATATTTTTGTTTTATCACTAAAAAAGTTGGTTACTATGAGTGCCAAGATACAAGTTTTAGCAAAACTTATTAAAACAGATCACAGAGATATTCAGACCCAGATAAGAGAAATTTAAATGAGAACCAAGCTCAGGATTGCATTATAAGGTTAGAGAGGAACAGCCTGAGGTTTTCAAATACCCAACCTTTATTTATCCAGTAATCTTACAGGGACCGCCAAATGATAGATACCCCCAAGGCTGTGTAAGAGCTGAATGGATTCCTGTACAAATATTAGATTTAAGGAGATTCAAGGAAGTGATAGTCTCATATGGCACACATTCATCTTTTGTGAGGCAGATGTTAAACTCATGGTCAACTAGTAATAGAATTATTCCTCAAGACTGGGGAGACTTGTTACAGTAGTCTTGAAGCCTGGTCCTCAATTACAATGGAGTACCTGGTGGAAAGAAGAGGCTAAAACCATTGAACAATGAAGTAGGGCTAGAGGTATGGCAATCTCCCAAGGCCAATTTCTTGGAGAGGGAGACTATGCTAATATAGAAAGGTAAACTCTATATAATGACCACACACTGGCTTTATGCCAAGCAGCAGCCTTGAATGCTTAGGACAGAATTGAACAAGTAGGAAAGAAAACTGAGTCATTGATGAAAGTTATACAGGGCTTGAAAGAAACCTTGACTGATTTCTTACAAAGACTGACTTCAGTAGTAAATAGAATGATACCAAATTCAGAATCTAGACAAATAATAATTGAACCTCTGGCTTTTGAAAATACTAATGCACAATGCAAAAGGGTAATTAGGCTGTTAAAGGCAAGATCAACACCCTTGGAGGAATGAAGCTGAGATAATCAACATTGTTTGTTTGTTTTGTTTGTTTTTTGAGATAGGGTTTCTCTGTGTAGTTTTGGTGCCTGTCCTGGTATTCACTCTGTAGACCAGGCTGGCCTCGAACTCAAAGAGATCTGCGTGCCTCTGCCTCCCAAGTACTGGGATGTGTGCACCACCACTGCCCAATACAATCAATATTGAATCTCATAACCATGATGATGCTTGGATAGGAGAGGTGATTTCAAGAGGTTTGAAGAAAAATCAAAATGTTTTGTGTTTCAATTGTGGTAAACAAGGTCACCTAAAAAAGGATTGTAAACAGGGTATTCCTAGAAACAGTTTTTTCTAAGAATGATCCAAACAGAACACCCCCTCCCTTCTGAAGTATGTAGAAGGCGTGGCAAAGCAGACATTGAACCAATAAATGTAGATCAACAAATGATAGAAAGGCAACCCTTTGCCCATGACAAACATCTGCAAGAGGCCCCATGACAAATTTGGTTAAGTCATTTCCTGTCATCACAGAGGAAATTCCTTCCCAGAGCAATTAAAGAACCTAATGCTTATTGTAAAAAACCATACTGCTGTGGGATGTTCTGTATGGCAAATGTGTTGCTCTGATTGGTTAGTAAATAAAACACTGATTGGCCAATAGTCAGGCAGGAGGAAGTATAGGCGAGACAAGGAGGAAAAGAATTCTGGGAAGTAGAAGGCTGAGTAAGAGTCACTGCCAGCCGCTGCCAGGACAAGCCGCATGTGAAGATGCCGGTAAGCCATGAGCCACGTGGCAAGATATAGATGTATAGAAATGGGTTAATTTAAGATATAAGAACAGTTAGCAAGAAGTCTGCCATGGCCATACAGTTTGTAAGCAATATAAGTCTCTGTGTTTACTTGATTGGGTCTGAGTGGCTTTGGGACTGGAGGGTGACAAAGATTTGTCTTGACTGTGGGCAAGGCAGGAAAACTCTAGCTACACCATACAGTTCTGGATAATAGAAGAGCTTTAGAAGATAAAGCAAAAATTTCAAGAGAAACCAGAAATCAAAACTGATAAAGATTAGATTTGAACAAGAAAGACCTTTTGATTAGAAGAGGTGGTAGTTCATCAATCAGCATGACCATTCAATCTAAATTAACTTATAAAACTAACAAATGCTTTTCATTTGATCAGATATAACTTGCCAAAAGGGAAACTCCCCAAAGTTAGGGTTGGGGAGGGTTTTATTTTTGTCTTTCCAGGAAAATAAAAACAACCATCTTGAGGAACTTAAAGACCTTCGGACAAATAAGCATCCAAAGAAGTGTGAACTACTTCAAAAAAATTACCAAGAAAAGGAATAATCTGACCTAATATAATCTCTG